TTAGCTATGAGGATGATAAATAGGACACTTAGAAGTGTTGTTTTTCCCCATTGGGTCCTAAAGGTTTGAGTGACTTTATAACAATGATAGTGTAANAGAAAAAAAAAAGTTCTGCTTGCTCTGATTGCCCCTGTTGTTTAGCTATGAGGATGATAAATAGGACACTTAGAAGTGTTGTTTTTCCCCATTGGGTCCTAAAAGTCTGAGTGACTTTATAACAATGATAGTGTAACCTTTAGGAACTGAAATCTTTAAAAAGATATTATGAAAATATCAAAATTGAAGTGTAATTCCTTAATTAGACATCAGAACCACATACTCTGCCCTTCTGGGAATCTTTTGATAGGGCTTTACTCAAACTCAGGGTAAACATTTATAGCAGCTCTGAGTTCTCTGGGACTGTCCTTTGTTTTCCAATTTGATGGAAGTTTAAATGAATTTTTAACACTTAGATTTTTTAAAAAGACATGGACAACATATGTCGATATATTTCTCTATGTGTATCATAAATTCATTTCACATCACTTCTCTGGGCTCATAGCAGGCAGAGTGCCATTTTGAATTTGGCTCTGATATGAATGTAGACTCTGATCTTCTGTATAAAAATTAGTGATTGATGGGCACTTTATATTAATTAATGTATTTGCCTCCAATAAATGTGTTTCCAACAATTCTCTGGTGCTAGATATTAAAAGAAATTGGAATTTTCAAACTATTAAACTGATGGTTGCCTTCTGATAACCTCTATTTGCTAATTGGAGACTGAGTTGTGATTAATGAAGATGGTGGTTTAATGCTTCATCTTTCCTTTAATAGCTGGAACTAATGGCAATTTCATGTCCCTGCTGCTTTGACCGGTAGGATGTATCAGAAATAGAAAAACTTCAAAATGTCAGATTTATAAGACAAATTTTGAGGGGATCTAAAGCTAATTTTCAAAAGCATAATTTATAAACTTTCTTTCCTTTATTTTAGTCTAGCATTTAATTGGCAAAAGAGGAAAAATCACTTCATGTATACATATAGTTTTGTTTCTCTTGTTCACTAATTATATAGATTATTTTGAATCTACTGAAAAAAGTGCTTTAGGTTATGCATGTTACATTGTTATTCCCACAATGAAAACTTTGTCCTATTATTTAAATATTGCTATAAATATTTAAGACAGTTCCCTGTTAGCACTACTTTTGTTTCTCAACATTTCTTAATCCTATAATTACCAAGTTTTAACTAATTGCATCAACATAGCTTTTCTGACTATAACTTGTTGCCACCATAGGATATCATGCTTTTGAAGAATCAATCCTTAGTGCCATGCCATGTTCTAAGGTACTCTTCCAATATAGCATTAATAATCATGTCTATTTTTGTTGAAATGACAATGAATGCTTCAGAATGTCTCTAGTGGAGGACAGACAATTTGAATGGATAAGATATGGCAGGGGAGTCATAGGTGACCTGTCTTAAAATGTTCTCTATATGTCTGCCACATCATAATTCACTAGGGTTTATTTGAAAGGCTTGGGTGTACTAAAGATAATTTATATGAATACCTCTTCATTGTCCTTTGTCTATTCCAGTGCATACTAATTATTTCATCCCCTGCCTTCACAGTATCCAATGCATATTTTGTGCCTGAGAGCTCACTGTGACTTTAGAAGAAGCCTTTATCATTTGAATTTTGGGGACATTTTGCAATGATAAAAATTAGTCTAAATTGAGATTAAACACTGATGATTAACATTTTTGTCATTAATTTTCCTTTTATAAAACAATTGTCTTGTAATAGAAACCTCCAGTATATTTTCAGAAAGCAATGCCTGATATACAAATTCTTGTCAATGTATTAAGGCCAAATTAGTAACAACAAATGACAACTTCTACTTATCTGTGGCTGTTGTTCAGTCATTTAAGTCATGTTCGACTCTTTGCGACCCCATGGACAGTAGACTGCCAGTCCACGGGATCTTGTCCATGGGATTTACCAGGCAAGAATATCGGAATGGGTTGCCATTTCCTTCTCCAGGGTATCTTCCCAACCCAGGGATTGAACTTGTGTTTCCTGCATTGTAGGTGGATTCTTTACCACTGACCCACCTAGAAAGTCCACTCATCTATTACTCTGTGGTAAAATTTTATTTTTATCATGCAATTATGCTCACCATTTCCCTATAACAGAATGTTAATTCTAGAAAAAAGAAAAACCCTGATATAAATTTACAATATATTAGAGATACCACTCAATAAAGATCTGATCATGCTTTTACATAAAACATAAAAATAAGATTTTGCTATTAAGGTCAAAAGATATATTCCATCTCTATTTCAATGTTTTCATTATTAATCTCATATGCCTTTTTTTTTTTTCCAGAAATCAGTTTCTGTTTGTCATTTCAGCTTGAGCTTACATCCTAAAAGTGTTTTGTTTAAACTTCAAGTTTGCATAGCATGGCCCATAAACTTGATAACATTAAGCATTATTATATCGACAATGTCTATGTTGATGACCATTATATTATGCATTTCCTTGTGGAATCTATATTAAATAATGAAGTTATTTGAGAAGTTTTCAACATTGACTAATTTCTAAAATGTGCCATACTGACTGCTTTTCACAACTGTTTCTTTAAAGTTGCACAGAACACATGGAAATGGTTGGGTGTGTCTTTTATGATGGAGAAGGACTGGATAGGGGAACCTTCTATAAATATCAGTCCAAGGAAGTTAAAAAGAATGTGAAACTCTCTGAGCAGTCAAACCATTGATCTTCTATAGGAGTCTAGCTCCACTGTCTACTTCCAAAGCTTTGAACAGGTCAGGGAGGACAGCAATTAAGGACAGTCTGCAATATTTAAGACATACAATCTGCTGACAAGTATACTTGCAAAGTTAGGACTGTGGCTCTGAATTCAATAGGCACATTTGTGAGGTAACAGCATTAGATTAAAAATGCTTTGTTTTGACATTTAATGTTATTTTCATTTAAGAAATATTTATCGAACATCTACCATTTATAAAATACTAAAGGGAAAGATTAAATAAAAAACAACTTCAGCCTATTGATTTCCTTTACAGTAGGAGTATAAACATAAACTTATACATAAGTGCATTTTAAGGTAGAACAGGATAACAACAAGAAAAGAGTAAGTATTAATAAATGCCTTTGGAATAAAAGGAAAGGAAAAAACTAATTCAGAAAATATGCTTTTAGGTTGTCTTCAGGTCAAACATCAATAGGTTGAAAGTATAGGTATTTTAAATCTGGTACCATTTTGGACTGAACAGAGGGAGACCAGTGTAAGAAAAGTAAAGGGGATCTGTGTGGGTGGTAACAGCACGTTTTTTTTTTTTTTTTAATGCTCAGGATACCATATCAGAAGTAAGTAAGGTAGACCTAGGGCTCACAGTTCCATTCAGTACAGTAGCTAATAATAGTTGTATCTACATACAGTGGGCAGAAAAATAGCTCCCTAAAGATGTCCTAATCCTTGGAACCTGTGAATGTTACATTACCTTGCAAAAAGGCAATAAGATTGCAGGCAAAATCATGGTTACTAATTATAAGCATTTTCAATGGGGAAGTTATCCTGGATTATTTAGCTGGATCTAAGTGAATCACTGGTGTCATCAAAATATGCGAGGGTCAGGGGGACCAGCAAAAAGATGAGCTTTAAAAATACGAGGAGAATCATAAGCCAAAGAATGCAGGTGGTCTCTAGAAGCTGGAGAAGATAAGGAAACAAATTTTCACCCAAAGTCTCTAGAAAATAATGAAGCCCAGCTGATATTTTACTCAGCCCAATGATACCCATAACATGCTTACAGAACTATAAGATGACAAACTTGCATTCTTTCAATCCAGTGCATCTGTGGTAATTAGTTACAGAAGCAATATAAAACGGATATACTCCCATGGTAATTTCATAGATGAACATGAGTGTTTTCCAGGTTGAGTTGTTCCAGCATTATTGATTGTGATGTCCTCATTTTAATAACAAAAGTCTTTCGGACCCTCAATATATTAATTTTATATTTAAAAATTGTTGTTGAAACACAGTATAATAACAAAAAATCTAAATCTGTATGTATTTTCATTATTCACCCTATTGTATATAAAGTTTTAAAATGGGAGAACAATCACTGGCAGATAGAAATCCTTGGAAGAAAAGTAATGACCAACCTAGACAGCTTATTAAAAGCATAAATGTTACTTTACCAATAAAGGTCCATCTAGTCATAGCTATGGTTTTCCCAGTAGTCATATATGGATGTGAGAATTGGACTATAAAGAAAGCTGAGTGCTGAAAAATTGATGCTTTTGAGCTGTGGGGTTGGAGAAGACTCTTGAGAGTCCCTTGGACTGCAAGGAGATCCAACCAGTCCATCCTAAAGGAGATCAGTCCTGGATGTTCATTGGAAGGACTGATGCTAAAATTGAAACTCCAATACTTTGGCCACCTGATGTGAAGAGTTGACTCATTGGAAAGGACCCTGATGTTGGGAGGGATTGGGGGCAGGAGGAGAAGGGAACACAGAGGATGAGATGGGTGGATGGCATCACTGACTCAATGGACATGAGTTTGAGGAAACTCCGGGAGTTGGTGATGGACAGGGAGGCCTGGTGAGCTGCAATTCATGGTGTCGCAGAGAGTCGTACACGACTGAGTGACTGAACTGAATTGAGTATATTTCTGAATTGAGTATATTTCTATATTATAGTTCCCATTAATTCTTTGGGGAACTATAGTTTTGTTATATTTTGCGGTAGAGAATCAGAAGTGCCATAATTTTGTCAAACAAGAACCACCATTGATAATAGAATAAATCATACGAAGTCTGAAAGCAACCAAAAGTGAAGTGATAAGTCATATTGACACTATAGAGATGTAGGTATTTTCATATTTGTCATCTCATTGATTCACCTGGTAAAGAAGCCATCTCTGGGATTTCCGTTTTTTTCTCCTTCCAGTTCTTTCTTAATATGTTATCCTATTTTACAGGACTTACTTGGAAAGATAACATCATTTCGTGATGGACTAAATGAAATTAAAGATGACATTGCCTGTTGCCTTGTTACTCTTATGTCCCATGGAGAAGAAGGTTTTATCAAAATGAAAGACGGTGAAAAAGTCAGCCTGGAAGACATTTTTGAAATGTTCAACAATAAAAATTGTCCAGCACTTCAAGAGAAACCAAAAATTTTTATAATCCAGGCCTGCAGAGGAGGTAAGCGGAGATGTCTTTGCATCACATTCTCTTTCCAGGGAATTCTCATGTTGATGATGGAGGAAAGAAGAGTGAGTTTCAAAAATTATTTTTTAATAATTATATTAAATTATATAACTGAAGATACATCAGACCCATAGCTGATGTATCTTACGTTATATAGCATACTAGGGACTTTGAGCTGGGAGAAAGGGATGGAGTGACAGCTTACCTGGGTTAGGATGGTTAATTTAATCTGAGGAAGGTCTAAGTCATTAAAATCATAAGGTGGATCTGAGAGCCTCAAATTCTGGGGGAGAGGTGGACAATTTTCTGGGGGATGTCCCATCATACATGTGATTCTAGATGGCTTGCGGGGCTAATTTCTGATTTATGTAACTGGTTTTAATTATTTCTCTTGTGAAGATACAAGCTTCTTGTGACTTTTATTAAAGGTTATTCATGTCAACGGTATATTATTGTAGTTTGTATTTTCATTCCTCAAAAAACAGAGAGGAGAGACAGTGGTGTTGAAACAGATGATGAACCCATGGACTTGGATGATGGATCAGAGAAGAAGAGGCTGCCTACATTCAGTGATTATTTCATCATATATCCCACCCAAGCAGGTAAGATAGTGAGGCTTGAAGATACACATTCATCCAGAGGGTTTAGGTTATTTCTACTGATTTTTGAAATTTCTTTTTTTTTTTTGCCTCTCTGCGAGGCTTGTGGGATCCTAGTTCCTTGACCCTGGATTGAACCTGGGCCCTTGGCAGTGGAAGCGCAGAGTCTCAACCACTGGACCACCAGGGCACTCCCAGAAATCTATCTTAAAAAAATTATCTGTGCCTTCTAGATTGACGTGCATGGGAGAAACTTTCATTATCCCACCCATCTCCCTTCAGAAACTATTTCACTTTCAGAGATGACAGGTTTGCATCTGACTGTTTATCTCTTCCAGGAAGACACCATCCTCTTAGCAGAGTATCACATATGAAATAAGATCATTGGCTTTCATGTGAGAAAGATCTTGATGCAAAGCCAACTCTGCTGCCTTTGAGACCTTTATATTTTCTAGCCTCTAGATATGTCAGTTTCTTTATGCAAAATAAGAATGATAAAATTTTCTTATTTCATTGGGATGTTTATAAATTAAATTATGAATGCAGGTGTGCTTATTGTAATAACTGGCGTAATAAGTTTAAAAATTGATTAATTCTACTACTAATATATTATGTTGATTACATTATTGTCTTTATTATTAATACTAATAAAAATCCAAAAGAGTGTTGTGTGCTGAAGGAGTGGACTTGATTCAGTCATGGAAGGGAAATAGGAAAATGTAGAGAGGATAGAAGTAAGTGTCAAGGGCATTTATTTAGCTGTTTTTATACTGACTTTCTTGAAAAAGGATTAAAATAGCTTATGTATGTATGTGTGTGTGTGTGTATAAAACATATAACATATACAGATATGTATGTATATACAATTCAAGATAAAATGTTAGTGAAGAAATGGAAGCAAAGGAAAATAAGGACAGAAATGTAAAATGAAAATGTCCCCATTAAAGTTAGATATAACTTTATTCACCCAAGAGAGATGAAAGCATATGTCCTAATAGACACTTGCACATGAGTGTTCATAGCAGATTTATTTCAAATAGTCAGACTAGAACCAATCCAAATGACCAACAGGTGAAAGAATAAACAAATCGTGGTATATCATACACAAAGTACTACTCAGCGTAAAAGCAATGAGTTCCTGACACATGCTAGAGCATAGATGAAGGTCAAAGTATTCCTGATGACTGAAAGAAGCCGGACAGAATAAAGCAGATAACTGTGTGGTCCCATGCATATAAAATTCTACAAAGTACAAAGTAATCTATCAGACAGCAAGTCAATACTACTTGCAGATGGGGATGAAGAGGTAAGGAAGGACTGCTAGGGCCATGAGAACATTGGAGGAGGAGGGTTGGATTCATTATGTTGGCTTTAAGTATACATATGTCGAAACTTACTAAACCATTTGCTTAAAATATGTACGGATGATAGTGGCCAATTATACTTTTATGAAACTGAAAATTTTAAAGTTAGGTGTAAGGCAAGCAGGTGTAACCTGCTTAGGTGTAACCCATTCTCACTCCTACTCTTTAACATGGCATGAGTAGTCCTAGCTAATGTATTAAGAACAGAAATAGAAGGATCAGTATTCTAGAAAACAATAGTTTTGAATACAGTAACAATAATCACTTAGGACATAAAAGAGAAAAGAAAAAAGATACCGTATTACTTTGTCTTGCTTCAGTGAATGATGTCTAGGAATGACTAACAAAAGAGGAGCAAGACTTCATTAGGGAAAATGAGAGAACATTCTAGAAAGACATAAAGGAAGACCTGAATCAGTGGTGGGAAATACCTTGCTCATGGTTGAAAATTGTAGTACAATGGAAATGACTGTTTTTTCCCCCCAAATTAGTTTGTAAATTGAATTCTAAAGTGTTTTTTCATGGAATTTGACAGACTAATCACAGAATTTTTATGGAACAGTTAAGGGTCAAGACAATGTAACTGGACCTCCAATTTTGTTGAATGAATGAATTTTGTGACTGTGTGCTGGCTATTTATGTTGAGGACTAGAGATTCAGTATCGAACAAAAGAATGAAAAATCTCTGCCCCCAGGAAGCTTATGTTCTGGGGAGGGAGACAGAAAATAAACACATACAGAAAGTGGGTACTGGGTTGCTTTATGATTCTAGTTCTATGAAGTGCAAAAACTTCATATTAATCATTGAAATTAATCAATGGTGGGAGGTGGAAGTCAGGGGGTATAGTGTGTGGAGTGGTGATGACCACAGCAGCGAAAGCGCACTTGTGAAGTGCTGTTATCGTCATCTTTCTTGATGAGGGTGCCCATGCTGGGAGTGTGTTCATTGGATGAAAACTTGCTGAGTTTTTATGCACCCATAGGGCTTCGCTTGTAGCTTTCCGTAAAGAATCTGCCTGCAACACAGGAGACCCAGGTTCAATTCCTGGGTTGGGAAGATCCCCTGGAGAAGGAAATGGCAACCCACTCCAATATGCTTCACACACCTTTCTGTATGATGTTTACCCTTCAGTGAAATAAATACCAGAAATAAAATATGTTAGATGGTGATAAGTGCTATGAAGAAAAATAATGCAGGACCAGGGAGAAGGGAGTATTGAGGGGTGAGAGTGGAGGTTGTAGTTTTTTAAAAAGTGATGTGTAGAGATGTTTCCATTGAGAAGTTGATTATTGTGTAGAATTGAAGGCCATGAGAGCGTGAGCTATGCAGATATTTGAGAAAGCGTGTCTTCTAAGATAAGGACACCTAGTAGAAAGCAATGACCTAGGAATAATTGAGATAATGTGTTAGCATGTCATGTTATCATGGTGGATATGTCAATTTCTTCTGTAGTTCTGTTATCTACTTTTGTTTTCTTTATTTGTTTTGAGGCAACTTTAGTAGAGGGATAAGATTTTAGAATTGTTATACTTTGTGGTGACATAAATATATAATCATTGTTTAGTGAACCTTCTACCCCCAATAGTACTTTTTTATGGTATTAGTTTTTCTCTGATATTAATATAGATACTCCGGAATATGTTATTCTGGTCCATATTTGCCTGGTATATCTCCTTCAGACCTTTTCTATTAACCTGTTTAGGTCCTTATGTTTTAGGTGGTCTTTTAAAGAGAATATAGCTAGATTTTGTTTTTTAATCCAATCTGATATCACTTTTTTCTGGTGAGTTAAGACGAGTTATCTTTATTGTCACTATTGATACATTTACACTTTTACCATTATAACTGGTGCTATTTATTTGCTTTATTCCCCCTCCTTTATTGCTTTTCTTTTAAAGAATTGAAGTGTAGTTGGTATATACAGTATTATGGTAGTTTTATTGCTCTTGTGTTTGATTGATTATGAGTTTGATTTGTTATTATTACATTTTATCTCTCTACTGACTTAGAAGGTATGAATTTCACATCTCTTTTTCTCATGGTTCCCCTTGAAATGTTATATGCATGTACTTAACCTAAAGTTAATAAAAAGCTTATTCTTACTTTTTGATGATACACAGAACAGCCTTAGAATGCTAATTCTTTTATTTTTGTATCTTTATTTATATGAAATTACTTATGTATTCTTACATTCCTTTTATCCTAATTTTCTTCTAAATGAAGACATTAACCCAACACATTTTCATCAGATAGGTTGGCATGTACTAGGGTGACAAGCACTATGCTAGGTAATGCCTATTCCTTTTTTAAAACCCTACAAATTAGAACATTTCATAGTATTTTTATACAGTGTATGTTTGTTTATATTTACCCATGTGTTTACCACTTCCTCTGTTCTCTAGTCTGTCCTGAATCTCAGACCATATTCTTTCTTCGTGAAGTATGTTCTTTAGAAACTCATTTAGGGAAGATTTATAGGTGGTAAAATCACTTTACACCCAAATCTGACTGATCACGTAACAATGCCTTTGCTTGTTCCTCCTTGTGATTCATTCATTTCTTTAAGCATTTCATGCAGTTATTTTATATTTTGTCTCTCATACTTCCAATATCTACAGTCTTTGGGAATCTCTCTTATGGTGGTTTCTGTTGCCTGTCACTCTTGGGGGTTTGGTTCTTTGTGTGTTTGAACTCCTAGCTCATTTGTTGAATCTTAGTCTCTTACTCCTGGGGACATAAATCCGGTGTACTTGCCTTTAGAGAGCGTCATCACCCATGTGGACCTCTGTGGGAATCTTTAATTTATCTCCCTCCCTCCCAGGCGCATCTTTCGGGCTTGACACTTCTCCTTAGGCACAGCACAGCTCTGGTGTTCCTATTTACTTTCTGCTCCTGGTTGAAGTTTCAACTTCCTCATTTGCAGAAATGGTTTGCCTTGGGGATTTCCATTCGTTTCTGTTAGCCCAGAATAGCATTAAGCTTTTTTGCTTTAATCAAGGATTAAGTTTTTTAACTGGAGGAATATTTAAAGTGCCCAGAGGCTTCCCTGGTGGCTCAGATGGTAAAGACTCTGCCTGCAATGCGAAAGTCCCCGGTTCAGTCCCTGGGTTGGGAAGATCCCCTGGAGAGGGGAATGGTTACCCACTTCAGTATTCTTGCCTGGAGAATCCCATGGACAGAGGAGCCTGGCCATTTACAGTCCATGGGGTCACAAAGAGTCAGACACAACTGAGCAACTAACACACTTTCCAAGTGCTCAAAGTGGAAAACTTGGAATATGTAGTAAGATGAATTTTTTGGGTCATCCTTTTTTTTTAAATTTCATTTTTAATCCCATTTCTTTTTATTTTTTTATTTTGGTGTGTGGCATGTGGGATCTTAGTTCCCTGATCAGGAATCGAACTCATGCCCCCTGCAGTGGAAGCTCAGAGTCCTAACCACTGGACCACCAAGGAGTTGCCTTGGGTCACCGATTTTTACCCAATGGAATGAGGCAGTACCAAATACGTCTGGGGTTGTGGGGCAACGAGTACTTCCATATACCATTGATGAGAGCAAGTTATATTGCCTCTTTGGAGATTAATGTGTGATACCAAGAAAATTAAAAGTATATTTATGCCCAGCAGTTTCACTTCTGGGTATACACCCTAGTGTTGTGGTCTCTAAATCAGGGGGCCACAGTGAAGTCACACAGCTATACTGAATTCTATGAATCACCAGCTCAGATAAGTTACGGTTCCAAAAATTAGACGGTGCTGTGTTTTTCTGATATCATGTTTTAGGGGTACCGAGTTTTGAAGGGTTGCTGAGCTAAGGAGCAAGCACCATTGTGGTGTCCTAAGTTGAGAAGGCATGCAGTGCCCAAGAGGGGCACACATCCCAGTAGTAACTGTGGTTATTTAAGAATGGGGGACACCCCTGGTGGTCCAGTGGGTAGGACTCTGCTCTCACAGCTGAGGGCACAGGTTCAATCCCTGGTTGGGGGACTAAGATCCTACAAGCCCAGGGGCGTGATCAAAAATAAATAAATGAATAAAAACATTTTTCTTTCTATTTGTAGGGGCTTTTTTTTGACCATCTGTTCATGTGCCGGTTGGCCATTCGTGTATCTCCTGTTGCCCAGTATTGCACTGGGTTGTTTGTTTTCTTATTAAATTATGTATATTCTGAATACTAGTCCTTTCTCTGGTACAAGTTACAAGTACTTTCTCCCACTGTATGACTGGCTTTCCATTTTCTTAAAGATGTCTTTCAAAAAGCAAGAGTTTTGTAAGCATTCACTGGTGGTTCTGTAGTAGAATTCTCACCTGCTGAAGAGCAAGAATTTTATGTTTTTACTCCAGTTTATCACCTTTTCTTTTATGGCTTATGCCTTTTGTGTTGTAAGAAACCTTTGCATACCCTGAAGTTGCAAACATGTCCTGTGTTTTCTTGTGTTCCAACCCAGGTTTACCATGAGAGAGTGCTGTTTTCACATTCCTTCCACACTATACAGACATATTTTATGTTTTTCAATCTAATAATAAGCATAATTTTGGTAGTCAACCCCTTGAATACCCCCAAATAAATTCCACATAGATATATTTAGGGTTATTAACTTAAAATGCTAGAGCAAAAGTCAGCAATAAAAAAGTAGAAGGGATGTGTACGTGCGTGCTAAGTCACTCAGTTGTGTCCGACTCTTTTTTGACCATGGACTGTAGCCTGCCAGGTTCCTCTGTCCGTGGGATTCTCCAGGCAAGAACACTGAAGTGGGTTTCCATGCTCTCCTCCAGGGCATCTTCCTGACCCAGGGGCTGAACCTGCATCTCTTATGCCTCTTGCATTGGCAGGCGTTCTTTACCACCAGCGCCACCTGGGAAGCCCAGAAAAGGGATAATAAAGCAAATATGACAAAAAGTGATAACTCTAGGATCTGAGGGATGATTTTGGGGGGTGGGGGTCATTCAGCTTTGCTTTCTACTTTTGTGTATATTTGAAAACTTTGAAGCTAGATTAAAAAAATGCATATTTAAAGATTGCCTCTTGAGAGGTTGTGTGCAGTTGGTCACACAAGTCTTATGTCTGTGCTTAGTCGCTCAGCTGTGTCCAACTCTTTGCGACCCCATGGACGTTAGCCCATCAGACTCCTCTGTCCATGGGGATTCTCCGTCTTAATGCAGTGTTTCTTTTTCTAAAGTTTTTATTGAAGCACATTTGATTTACAGTGTTGTGTTAGCTTCACGCGTACAGTAAAGTGGTTCATATATATTCTCTTTTGGGCTTCCTCGGTGGCTCATATGGGGAAGAATCCACCTGCAATGAGGGAGACCTGGGTTCGATCCCTGGGTTGGGAAGATCCCCTCAGAGAAGGAAATGGCAACCCACTTCAGTATTCTTGCCTGAGATCCCCATGGACAGAGGAGCCTGGCGGGCTACAGTCCATGGGGTCATAAAGAATCGGACACAACTGAGCGACTAAGCACGCACATATATTCTTTTTTAGATTCTTTTCCATAATGCCGGTTTTTCTGTATTATCAGTTCAAAGCCATTTTCTAGGTTTTAACTATGGAGCAAAGAACAAGTTTGCTGCAAGTAGAGGAGGAAAATGGATGAAGTGGTTTTTTTTTTTTTTTCTTTTTTCTTTTCCTTTATAGATCATGTCGCTTTACGGGATCCCCGCACTGGCTCTGTGATGATCAAGGAGATGACTGAAGTCTTTAAGCAGTATGGAAATAAGTGGCACATCGCTGACTTCTTTACCATAGTAAGTAAATTCCAAGTGAACACGTGCTCCATTCATTCTAAAGCTAATGCACTTGGTGAAAACATTTTCATGAGGAGATTGACTTCCGCTGTGAAAGCATGAGGGAGGTTCCGAAGTTGCCTGTAAACAGTGGGCTGGTGAGCTTAGAGGGCTGTGGCAGAAGTCATGGCTGAGCCAGGCGCCAGTGGGAAACCGACAGTGATGCTTCATTCAATAGAACACGAGTGAGGTGGCTGTTAGTGAGCCTGGAAGTTCCGCCTGCACTATGGTCCTGCCAGCCTGATTTATCTCCCCCAGGAAGAGGGGGGAACCAGAGGGCTTCTTTGGGGACCAACACTACTTACATTTGTCTGCCCAGCTTGTAGCCAATAGTGAATGTTCAGTGAATGAATGAGGGGCCAAGAATAGTAGCAGATTTATATGCACACTGTAGTTTGGAGGAGGGCCTGATGATAGTGGTTTACCATATCAGGATTAAAGAGTAATTTTCTTCTTAATCTGGGAGTTTTATCTCCGAAGAGAGCTAACCAGGAAAGGCTGTAAATGAGCACAGCAGTACTAACACCTTCTGAACGGCTCACTCTGTGCCAGTTACTGTTCCTTGCAATTGACAGATAGTAATACATTAAGTTTTTCAACAGCCCTCTGGCACTTTGATTCCCACCCCCTGTGACAAATGCAGAGCTAGCAAAGTGGCAACCTGGGCTTTCTAGTCCAGACAAAGTGCTTTTAGAGCTCATGCCTTAATCACAATCGCGCAGTATTACTCCTTAGGAGTGTCCCAGGTGGCTCACTGGTAAAGAATCCACCTGCCGATGCAGGAGACGCAGGAGAAGAAGGTTCAATCCCTGGGTCAGGAGGACCCCCTGGAGAAGGGCCTGGCAACCCATTCCCGGATTCTTGTCTGGAGGATCCCATGGACCGAGGGGCCTGGCGGGCTACAGTCCATGGAGCTGCAAAGTGTGGGACACAGCTGAGCGACTTAGCGCGCTGTGCACACTTCAGTGTTTTTTCCATCCACAGCGTGCCTTCGGTGGGATGTGGGTGACCTTTGCTTTTCCTGGTGCAGTCAGATGATTCTGCCCTCACCTTCTGTGGGGTTTACTAAGAGGCTTTTGAGGGCTTTACAGTTCTTTTGGACAGTTTGTTCTTTTCTCTTACAGGTGAATAACAGAGTGGTGCACCGTGACTTTAATCTGTGTAACAAACCAATAAAAATATCGCTGGTAATGGAGTCAACTTTAACAAAATTTGTATACTTTTGACACGAGGATGATTCAAAAAACAAGGACTGCTTTGCAACAGTTTGTAAAGAGCTATGAGCATTTGTAGCATTGTACTAACAGTTACCATTTTGCATTTTTCTTGTCACTGGTGTTTCTTCAGTTTGTTTTGTATATATATATATATAATTTTTATAAGATTTAAGTCTGCTTACTTGATACTTGTAAGTCTTTTTTTTTAAGTGATTTTTTAAGTGATTTTTTTTAAGATCACTGTTTTCTGAAAAAACACTTTGCTGAACTGTTATCAAAACATGGACGTCCAGCTCCATTTGTGTACTGTTTTTATCCTGTGTTTCTCTTGCTGATTGCCCTACCCTCTCCACCCACAGTTTGGTGCTGGTGTTAATGCTTGTTTTCTTGGTTTAGTCAAGAATTGTTGGGTGTGGTCTTGTCCTCTGTGTACCTTATTTCCCCAGACTGTTGTCTGTAGCCAGTCTGATCTCTCGGAATCCGTAAGCTATTCTCAGGCCTTAACCTGGATCACTCTGGGCCTTGGATGCCTTCGTGTGTTTACTTTGCACCTGTTTCCCACCTTCCTCCTTGCTCCTTATACCTTTGAGCTGCTGTCTCCTCCACTTGGAACCCTCTATTCCACCCCACATAGGTAAGTCCTTGCCATCCTTTAGAATATGGTTCAAGCACAACTCACACAGGGAGGCTTTCCACAGCCCCATGCTAGGTCAGCTTCTTCTAAGTGCCCAGAGACTCTCAGCTTCTCTTCTGTAGCATTGAAATGACTATCTAGTGCCTGTCTCTCTCTCTCCAGTTTAGTCGTGAGCTCCAAGAGGCAGAGGCTGTGTGTCTCATTCATGGCTGTATCTTAGCTTCCGTCCATGCCTTAGGACACAGAGAGACCATGCAGTGAGTTTAGTGAGTGACTCATCCCTGTGTTTTAATTATTTTACCCATTCCGCAGACCTGGCCTCTTGAATATCTAGCCACCTGCCATTCATCCCCACACACATGCATGTCTCATGGCTGCTTTTACTCCACCAGTTGGAAGTTAACCTGAGTTTCCCCGAAATCCTTTCATAAAACCCATCCCATTGTTCATAATCTTTTGACTCCCCACTGCCTGCAGGATATACCCCCCAAGTCCCCTAGGAGAATATTGCAAGTCTTTCTCTGTCAGGCTCAATCTACACTACTCATGTACTGCTATTTGTCCTGGTAATTCGCCCTCCCTTAATAATCCTGTCTCACAGAATCGGGCTTGTGAATTAGTGAATGTGGATGAACTCTCCTGGATATGTTATCGTATCAGAATTCAGTCTCTCCTTTCAGTCGGAAATGCCCATTCCTTTCGACTCTATGTTCTTCAGGGTGCAACTTGGGTCCCATCCCAAGTAAAGAAAACTGTATGTAGACTAATGTTTCTAGAGTAACAAACTGTGGACTGAGCATGAATTTTTGTATTCGAACTTTGGTTGTAACTCTGGACTGCTTCTGGACCTTGGTTTCCTCATCTGTATGAAAGGAGGTTTGGCTCAGCAGACCCTGAGAACCCACCCCCTTGGACTTCAGTGAATTTGAACTGCATAGTGAACTTGCTTCTGAACACCCTGCAGGTGGGACTGTTGCCGAACCTAAGGGTTCAAGCTGGCAGTTGCATAAGACTGTTGGGTCTATGTGACGATGCAGCTGGTTAGTGAGAATGCTTGAAGATTGAGAGCCAAATGAACTGAAGCAATCTGGAATCCCCAGGCCTATCTCCATTTCAGAGATCATTGTGTCCATTTTAGGTAATGTGATTTCTTAAGTATAAATATATGTGATTTAATTTTTAAGCATTTGTGTTCTGATACTTGATATGTAGCTTTGGTTTTATATAGAGCATTAAAATGTCTCCGGTTCATAAAACATGACCATCTGGTGAGCCTTCTCTATTCACTTGGGTTTTGGAGGACTTCTAGGCACAGAGGCTTGTTTCAGGGAGGCGGCATCAGCTGAAATATCAACAGCTCCTATTTCCTGGGAGAGGTTAGGTCATTCAGAATCACAGTTAGTGTGTAGTGATGCTGGGATTTCAATGCATGAATAATATAAGAGATAAAATGCCAAATGACAGAGAAAAGCTCTAAGACAGAATGCTTTTGATGGACGGAAGAGACCATTCCATTACCACTGAACTGATGGAATGAAGGCTTTGGGACAAAGGAGGGAAAAATTATTTTGGAACCCTGCTCAGACCACTACAGGTAAGTTAGGGTCATGGAGAGAACTGGAGGACAACTAGGTACCAGACAAACAGATGAAGAGGAGAAAGGAGGAATTCTGGTTACAAAGGTAGATGGCCCAAGATGAACTTGATGCCTGGGGCCAGCTAACCACCCCATATTTCTCTCAGCTTCAAATCAGTACACAATCTCCTAGCCATTCAATGCCATGTGAAATATAGCCACCACCCCTCCCCGCCCGCAAATAGTCCTGGTACAATTTTATATTTGAAAAAAAAAATTGAAGCCCAGTTTTTACTATTTTTTAAATACAGACCCAAGGAACCAAAGTTTGCGAAAGAAAGGCTGAGATTTTTATTTTAAACGTGTACGAATAAAAAATAGTGGAGAAACTTGTGCAGAGGACCAGGAGACTGAGGTGGGAGGGAGGACACTTGGCTGGGGAAATACCACAGTTTGACAAGTGCCCCCTAGGCTGAGGGCTCCTCACTCTGGCTTACTATCACCATGATACATTTTCACCTTTGAAGATAACTTGCTTCCTTGCCGAAAATTTTCATCATGCTTCTCACTTCTCAAGGACAGTTGTTTTGTGGGAAAAAAGTATTTTGTGGAGAAACAAAACCTAAACATAATTACAGCACAATTTCCCAGCTGTTAGAATGGAAGTATTTTGGAGATTCTATGGTGCACTGGGGAGGGAGCTGCTGAGATAGTTTGGGAGTGTCCTAGAACACCCTCCAGGAAAGTCCTGCAGTGACTGAAAACTGTCCCTAAAAGCCAGCCTTTCAAGTTTCCCACTTTGGGTCTACAGATACTTGCACCGGTTTCTAAGGATGCTTAAAGCCACAATTAAGTTTATTCCTTTGCTTGTATGTCAGCTCTTTATTTAAATGCAGTGTTTGTTTTATTTCAATTTAAAAACCTGTGTTCCTCAAAGAAAATTTAAAAAGTACTCGAGGCCAAGAACCTACCTAGTTCTCTACTTGTATACCTGTAGTTCCCACCCTGGGTGTACGTTAAAGTTATCTAAATTCTTCTAGTTTAGCGTTGGCCATATGTTTAAAAGCTCTCCAAGCGAGTCTAAGTGCAACCAAACTTCAAACCTACTGTATAATTAACAATCTGGCTACTGGTTATTTCTTTACCGTCGTTTAATACCTAGGGTTTCAAAATTTCAAAATGATCGCCCTCATCCTGTAACTCCTTTTTGAACTATAGAATGTATTTTAATTCTTTTTAATGGCTGCATGGTATTGGGCGGAATATATATTAACTAATAATTGCTATCGCAATTTTTCTTCTACGAAAAAAATTCTCATGCATTCCATCCGTGTAGTCTTCATTTTATTTTTTTAAGCGGGAAACTTCCCATTAACAGAACTCTTTAAAAATCTGAATTAGACACTGCTAACTTGTCCTTCAAAAACCGCGAAGTATCTTCTCCAGCTTTTGTTCATTCAACACAGGTTTGTTCAGTGCTTTCCCACGAAAGAAAAATGCAGTTTAAATAAGGAACCCGCTCAAGCGCATAGGTACAAAAAGCTGGGTGAGAGCGCCAACCCCTTGCTGGCCCTTCCGGACCTCACCCCTCTACAAAACCTGAGTGCGGCAATCAGCCCTCCAACTTCCGCCATTCGCTAGCGTCCGCGCTAGTGTCGTAGCCCGTCTTCCGGAGTAAGGCCCGCCCCCAGGATGCACGCCTTCATCGAGCTTCCGCCGAGCTTTCCGTTGTTACTGGCTGGATGCGGACTATATAAGGACGTCACTTCCGCCCGCGAGTCCTTTCGGCGCTGCCCTGAGAGGGGTCCATACGGCGTTGTTCTGAGTGAGTTGATTTTGGGTTCCCGGTGGCTCCCAGGGCCTTGAGGACAAGCTTCCTGTCAAAACGAGGTATAGGAGGACCTGGGTGAAAGCCTGCCGACGGAGTGCGTTAGTCTCTTGACTAGGCGCTCTCACGCTCAGACCGGCGGTCTACACGTGGCCGGGCCCGGGCCGGGGCGTTCCCACAAGGCCTTGGGAGCGGGCAGAGGTTGCGCTCCCGCCGCGGAGGCCCTGGGTCGGAGTGCGGGTGGCTGGGGGTGCAGAGAGACCACCCTACGCTCTGCGCTGGTTTTGACTCAGATCCCGACGCTCGGTTGTAATCCCGAGGCTTATGCTCCAGTTTTCTCCGTCTACTTGAGTTGGTCTCTTCCTTGTTCGTGGCGTTCAGGAGTTAAGGTTCTTGACGAAGTTTTTGTTACTGGAAAGATAAAACGTCGCATTTCTGTTCTCGATTCAAAATAATTTGGACAAGGAATGCAGAAACAATCATAACAGACTGAGGTGTAGAGAGAAGGATGTTTATTAACGAACAGACGCGAAAGTACTCTCGGGGAAGAAAGCAGGTGGGGAGTTCACCGAGAGCTTCTCTGACATCCGCGCACACACCCCATTTCACTTTGATTTCTCAAATGGGTAGTTTCTATGGGAGGTTTCTTGATTAGGGGCGAAGTAAACTTTGTTGAAATTGGATGGGATCTTGACTGCCTGGTCAAGATCCTGGTTCCGGAAAGCATCGCACATGCGCTCTAAGAGCCGTTTTCCTCTACGAGCGCCCTTCCTGAGAGGTTGAAGAGCAGTCACCTGCAGCTAGTATGCTCGGCCAGGCCCTGTGGATTTGTGGGCAGGGTTTCCTATTCAGGTGTGACGAGCTTTAATCAAAGTCTAATTTATGTTCGTGTTGTAAGCGCCATACTAAACGCTTCATGGTCACATTAAGTACAGAAAAAGGGGGTGGGAGTTGCTTGATATCTGCGTTTGAGGAGATTGTCCTTGATCTGGCCTTGTTGTTCTCATTTTAAGGAAAACTAGTAATCTCAGAAGTAATGCCTAAGGTACCACCTTCAGGCTGCTTGAAAATAACGCCTATTTACATCACCGTTGCTCACCTTCTGAACATTCTCAGACATGGCTGCTCTTTGACATCTAACTCCTCTGTACCTTGAGTATTAAGAAGTCTCAGTTCACTGTTTTCATTTAGTTACCTGGGTGTTTTGCCAGTCTCCACACCACTCTTTGAGCAGGATTTGATTTTCCAAGGTGTGGCATAGATCTGTTAATGTTCTGTCTCATCCCACTAGACTGACCCCTCTGCCTAACGCTGTAGGAGATGTGGTCTGTGGTTAAGATTTAAACATTAAGTCACCTGACTCCCAAGAGTAGAATGTACCATCCCGCTTAAGTCCCTGGAGTTTAAAGGACTTTTGTTAACTATTGTTTTTCAGATTCCCATCGTAACTTAAAGGGAAGCTTTCACAATGTCCGGAGCCCTTGATGTCCTGCAAATGAAGGAGGAGGATGTCCTCAAATTCCTTGCAGCAGGAACCCACTTAGGTGGCACCAACCTTGACTTCCAAATGGAACAGTACATCTACAAAAGGAAAAGTGATGGTCAGTCATTGCTTTAGTGTTATTTGGTGATCATTCCAGCTATAAGAACAAGTTTTGACACTACTATTCTGACAGGTGGTACTGAGTTGAAGTGCTTTGTGAAATTTGAACCTTACAGGGCTCTCACTAAGTAATTGATGAAAATAGATCTTTAGATGGGTAAGAAGCTTTAAAAGTATTGAGTGCTCTGATTGTTTTTAAAGGAAAAATTCTGAACTCCAATGGAAGAATGGAAACTGGTAGGTTATGTGTCGTGGCTTGGGCCTTGAATAAGCACAATGTAAAGATAAGGAGAAAGTTTAATAGCTTGAAGTGAAGTGGCTCAGTTGTGTCCAACTCTGCGACCTCATGGACTGTAGCCAACCCTGCTGCTCTGTCCGTGGGATTTTCCAGGCAAGAGTACTGGAGTGGGTTGCCATTTTCTTCTCCAGAAGATCTTCCCAACCCAGGGATTGAACCCGGGTCTCCCACATTGTAGGTGGACGCTTTACCATAGCTTGGTTTCTAATGATTTATCTCCCAGAATGCCTTATAATTTGTAGCTACCATTACGGGTTTGTAAAGCTGATTTCTGAAAGCAGAGCTATAGTTGGGAACAAGCATTTTGGTTTTCATGTCTGTAGCAGAAAAGGTAAGTTAGCTTTTGATGAGACTGGAATGCATTAAGTTGTTCCACTGAGATAGAACCACTGAAGGATTTACACCTGTGAGTGGCAAGGTTTAAAGGAGTTCACGATAAATTTGACATGGTAGATGACAAAAGGAAAATAATGGTAGGCCACAAATAAGAACGAACTTCTTGGATTTTGCATGGGAGGCTTGAGAGTGGGTTAACACAGGATAAGAAATGAAAAGATGCATTTTGCACATTATTAAAGCTCAGAGTGGAGGCCAGTCTTGGCCAATGAACTGCTGAGTGTCGGAAGTGTGCTATATTAATGGCAGGATTTTCGCTAACACCAGTAGAGCTTGCCTCTATGACTGGAGTTTGATAGTACTCGCTGCCACATGACTTCATGTTTTTAGGAGAATATTACCTTACAAATCTTGGTTAACTTTTAAGAAAACCCTGTGTCCTCCCCTAGGCATCTACATCATAAATCTGAAGAGAACCTGGGAGAAGCTTCTGTTGGCAGCACGGGCCATTGTTGCCATTGAAAACCCGGCTGATGTCAGTGTCATATCCTCCAGGAATACTGGCCAGGTTTGTGGAACAGTATGCGTGGGTTTTGCTGCAAAGCCTACAGATGTTTTGGGATGTATAGAAAAGCTGTTTAAAAAAAAAAAACAGAATTTATTTTAAAAAAACATTTGAAACTGGGCTGAGTTGGAGGAATTCCCAAAATTAAAGATTGTCAGCGTATTTGTCACTTCACATCTGAGACTTAAAATTCATGTATCATTGTGTATTTTCCTGTGCTGCTGAATTTCAAGAAATGCAAAAGTGGCTCACTGGCATTTTTAGCAGTGAGCTTTGAAGGTTTTAAATGAAACGTTGGACTTCCCTGGTGTCCAGTGGGTAAGAATCTGCCTGGTAATGCAGGGGACATGGCTTCAGTCCCTGGTCCTGGAAGATTCCACGTGCCCCAGGGCAGTAAGCCCACTCTCCACAAGGAGAGAAAGGCCACGCACACCAGGGAAGACAGTGCCCCCCAAATTTAATTACATTCAGGTTTCTTTCTTTAAAAAAAAAACACTGGAATATTGAGTTTAAAAAGTTATAATTAAATGCCAGTTTTTCAGGAAGGGCTTCTGTCAGTAAGATACCACCACACTCTTACATCAGCAAGAGTAAGAATATTTGCCAGATTAAGTGAATAAAAATAGCTTAATAAACATTGTCTTTTTTTCCCCCTTCACTTTTTGGAAGTTTCCGTATGACACCACTGCATTCTGACTGATACCATGCGATCTTTTCTCCACACCCCATCCAGCATTGTTTGTACACATTTTGATGACAGCCATTTTGAATAGTGAGAACCAGTTCCTCAGTCTGAGGGAAATTTACCAGTTGGTATTGGCAAGCTGACATTCTGCCTTAAATGAGTTTATTTTCAATGGGACATTTACTGATAGCAGGTGTCTAATTACAGCCCCACAGGCTCCTGAAGGCCTGGTGCCCACGGCCGTGGTTTGAAAATTGCTGTTGCAGGAAACGGCCACAAGGTGGCAGGATTTCTCTGCTCAAGTTTGTTTACTCAGGCAACCAGAGCTTTGCTGTAACTCCTGTTCCTGGGTTGAAAGTTAAAAGTGAAAGATGCCAGAAGAAACACTCAAAAGCTTGTCTGAAAAAAAAAAAAAAAAGCTTGTCTGTTGTTACTGCCTGATACTTGTGTTTTTATTGGAGTTGAGTGGATTTGCACGTTGGTGTTGGGTGTAGGGGTGCGGCACCTTGTCCAGTTACCGTGTATGCTTGCCTCTGCGGTTCTCTTCACGTATGGGGGGTCAGAGTGTTGAGTAGAGCTCCTGTGCTATTCAAGAGGTTGTTGATGATGAATTTATTATGTGATTAGTGTGTATCTGTTAAACTCTTTCTTAGCCCTGTGATAGCATATGTTTGTCTTATACTTTTTCTTCCTGGTAAATAGGGCATTAGTACTGATTTTGTGATTCCACCTGTAAGTCATATAATGGCCTTTTGAGTCTCTGACTCCATTTACTTAATATGATCCTCACTAGTTTCATCCCTGCTTGCTGCCTGTGGCATTTATTAAATTCTCCTTTTCTGGCTATGTACTATTCCATTGTCCCGAGCTACCATTTTTTCTTTACTGGTTCTTGTGTGGACGGGCATATTGTTTGCTTGGCCTCTTTTGGCTTGTATAAATAGCAGCACTGCGGTGAACTTCGGGTTGCGTGTGTCTGAATTCTGGTTTCTTCTTGATGGACATCCAAGAGTGTGTAGGTCTGATTATTAAAGGACCCCTGCTGTGGCCGTTTCCGCTTTACATTCCCGCCAGTAGAGTAGGCATGAGTATTTCTCCACACCCTGTCCGGCATGTGCTGTTGGTGGATGACTTGGCGATGGCCGCTCTGACTGGTGCTGTCTCGATTCCTTGGGCTTCCCTGTGGCTCAGATGGTAAAGAATCTGCCTGCAGTGCAGGAGACTCGGGTTCAATCCCTGGGTCGGGAAGACCTCCTGAAGAAGGGTATGGCTCCCTACTCCAGTAGTCTTGCCTGGAGAATTCTATGGTCAGCGGAGAGCCTGGTGGGCTACAGTCCATGGGGTCCCAAAGAACACAACTGAGTGACTAAAAGGTTTTTTGAACTGATTCCTCGGTGTAGTTTTGATTTGCACGTCTCTAGAAATGAGTATATCGAGCCTCTTTCCGTGTGCTGCTTCTAAATACAGTGTGAGGGAGATGTACCCATCAAAATTGGCATTCTGAGAGATTCTGAGACTGACTTGATGATTCCACCTCCCCCCTTTAATTACCCCAGGCATTTCTTGATGACAGGTGTCATTTACAGCTCTGCAGGCTCTGACCATTTAGTGCCCAAGGCCCTGGTTTGCGGGTTACTATTGCCCAGTCAGTGTGGCCACACGGTGACAGGATTTCTACTCAGGCAACCAGAGCCTTGGTGTAACTCCTGTTCCTGGAAGTGAAAGTGGTAATGGCACCCCACTCCAGTACTCTTGCCTGGAAAATCCCATGGACGGAGGAGCCTGGTAGGCTGTGGTCTATGGGGTCGCAAAGAGTCGGACACGACTGAGCGACTTCACTTTCACTTTTCACTTTCTTACATTGGGGGAGGAAATGGCAACTCACTCCAGTGTTCTTGCCTGGAGAATCCCAGGGCCGGCAGAGCCTGGTGGGCTGCCATCTATGGGGTCACACAGAGTCGGACACGATTGAAGTGACTTAGCAGTAGAGTTGCCAGGATGAGCACCCAAAGCCTTATGTCTTTATTTTTTTTCTAATGTAATTTTTATTTATTGAAATAAAGTATTTTTTTAGTAACTTTATTTTTAAAATGAAAAAGATGATCAGTGATAAGAGGTGCTATTCACAAAGAAGATAGACATCAAAAACCATTAGACACGTAACAACAAAGAGACAAAGCAAAACTGAAAAAAAATAAGGGAAAAGAAAAATAATCATACAGCGAGACATATTAACATTTCTCTGAGCATGTTTTATCAAGTGCAGAAAAAAGACTTGGAGCATCTTGAATGATGTCATTAATAATTTAGTTAGAATATATTTCTATTTATATTAAGTTATAGTGATTTTATATCCTAAAATTTATTTAAAATTTTGTATCTTACATGTGACTGTTAGATGCCCACAGAACATTTGGAAAAACTGGTTAAGTTTCAAAAAGTAGAATTCTTTATTTTTGTTTCAGTTATTCATATACACACATTATTTTTCAAACTGTTTCCCATAATAGATTATTATACTGACTTTAGTTCCCTGTGCTATACAGTAAGCCTTTGTTGCTTGTATATGTAGTATATATGCTGCACAGCTTAAGTCAAACAAGTGGAATCAAAATGTCATGCGCTTTTAGTTAGGCAGAAATTCATAAGTCTTCTAAAATATATATACTATGCATATTATTTATATTATGCAAAAGCTTTACTACCATGCTTCATAAATGCTTGAGAAAGAACATTAAGCTAAAGAGAGATGGAGAAATTGGAAACCGTAAACTAGATGAAATGGGAGCACTGAATATGAAATAGAAAAAGTGAAACAAACTAGATAAGAGTAAGAGATCCTCACAGTTGTTTTTAAACATTAGAAACATCTGGAGCACTGGCAAACATAAAGCAATACCTGGGCATTTGTACTCAAAAAATTCTGAGATAATTCTGATTTGCGCATCTGGATTTTAAGAAGTGATTACAGGTTTTTCTATTAAATGATAGTTTTGCTGGTACAGGATTCTGTTACTTTTCTATTGGCCAATCATGATACAGTGGTATTAAGTGAATAATAGTTACATAATCACAGTAGTGAAAGATGTTTATCAGTTTTCACAATAAAAAAATAAAAGATAAGTATAAGCTGTAATGGGAATATGATTAGCTTAATATAAGATAATTACATACATTGGGGGGGGTCAAGGAGAGTGGTGTGGTAAGTGGAAGTGCTTTCATGCTCTTGTTTTCATCCACCCAGCTGGTCTGTGTCTTTTGGTGCATTTAATCCTTTGCATTTCAGGTAATGTATGATCCTATTACCGTTTTAATTGTTTCAGGTTTATTTTCTGTAGGTCTTTTCCTTCTCTTGTGTTTCCTGTCTGGAGAAGTTCCTTTAGCATTTGTTGTAAAGCTGGTTTGGTGGTGCTGAATTCTCTTTAACTTTTTGCTTGTCTGGAAAACTTTTGATTTCTCTCTCGAATCTGAATGAGAGTCTTGCTGGGTAGTGTATTCTTGGTTGTAGGTCCTTCCCTTTCATCACTTCAGATATATCATGCCAGTCCCTGCTGGCTTATTGTTTCTGTTGAGAAATCAGGTGGTAGCCTGATGGGTTGACTATTTCCTTCCCCATTTTAGTGAAGTTTTCAGCTATTATCTCTTCTAATATTTTCTCATGTCCTTTCTCCTTTCTGGGACCCCTGTAATGGGAACACTGGTATGTTTAATGTTGGCCCATAGGTCACTGACGCTGTCTTCATTTCTTTTCAGTCTTTTTTTCTCCTGCATTCTGTTCTGTGGCAGTGATTTCCACCGTTTGTCTTCCAGGTCCCCGTTCTTTTGCCTCTTCCGCTACTGATTTCTTCTAGTGTATTTGTCTGTCTGGCTGGCTGTTTTAGGTCTTTGGTAAACAGTTCTTGCCTCTTTTCAATCTTTGCTTCCATTCTTTTTCCAAGATTCTGTGTCATCTTCACTATCATTTTGAATTCTTTTTCTGGAAAGATGCCCATCTCCACTTCATTTACTTGTTGTTCTGGGGTTTTATGTTGTCTCTTCACCTGGGACATAACTTTCTGCGTTTTCATGCTGACTAACTTTCTGTCTTGTGGTTTTGTTTAGTCGCTGTGGGCCTGTGCTTGCTTCTCTGTCTGCCCTCTGATGGAGGAGGCTGTGACTTATGTAAACTTCCTGATGGAAGGGACTGGTGGTGGGGAAGACTAGGTCTCACTCTGGTGGCAGGGCCTTGGTCAGTAAGTTTTAATCCAGTTATCTGCTGATGGGTGCTCCCAGGGATTGTGCTGCATCCCTGGTAGTTTTTTGGCCTGAGAGCACCCAGCTTTGGGTTGCAGGCTCAGTGGTCAGGTTAGTGGCAACCTCCAAGAGGCTTTACGTCAAGGAAGGACCTTCTCAGACTGGTGCCCCCATCCCTGTGGTGAGCCTCTGTGGACCCACACCTCCACAGGAGGCCCTCCAACATGAGCAGGTAGTTCTGGCTCAGTCTCCTGTGGGGCCACTGCACCTTGCTCCTGAGTCTTGGTTGCACACAAGGTTTTGTTTCTGCCTTCCCAAGACTGGAGTCTCTGTTTCCCCCCAATCCTGTGATCAAATCCCACAGGTCTGCAAGGTCAGATTCCTTGGGGATTGCCAGTCCCTTTGTTGGATACCCAGGCTGGGAAGCCTGATGTGAGGTTCAGAACCTTTACCACAGTGGGAGAACTTCTTTGGTATTATTGTTCTCTAGTCCGAGCCACCCACCCAGCTGGTGTGGGATTTGGTTTCATTGTGATTGTGCCCCTCCTACCCTCTACCATCTCGCCGCGGTGGCTTTGTCTTTGGAGGCGGGGTGTCTTTCGGTAGGTTCCAGCATCCTCCTGTTGCTGGTTCCCCAGCAGCTAGTTGTGATTTTGGTGCTCTCGCAGGAGATGAGCACATGGCCTTCTGCTTCGCCGTCTTGAATCATGGAGTCAAGTTGATTTGCAATGCAGTGTTTGTTGTAGGTGTTGTATTAGTGTGAATCTGTTAATCCCAAATTCCTAATTTATTTTTTCCCTGATGGTAAGCATAAGTTTGGCTTTTAATTCTGCGAGGGAGGTTGTCCCTGATAAACTCGTGCTACCAACTTTGTGGTTCTACCTGTAAGTCATTGTAACAACAGGATGAGCACAGCCCTTAGCAGGGAGCCATTGCTGTGCCTCATTACTCCACATCCTGGTTACTAAGCAACAGGCCTTACTCGGCCATTGGTGGGTACCCCAGTGGGCCCCACCCACAAGCAGCTGTCATTGCGGGACCATTAGGGAAGCGATTCAGCCACGGGTCAGTAGTGTGTGGTCATCATGTGGACCATGAGGCATGAGGCAGATTCAGGCCTTCTCATAGAGCCCCTCCGACTCCCCAGCCTTGGGCCAGCGAGTGAGCGTGAGGGCCCAGGGGACAGACTGGGGACTGCATCCTGCAGGGCTCCAGAGCCTTCACTGAGGCTTTGGCCCTGGCCTTGAGGCAGCAGTGAACCTCTCCCTCATCCCTGTTTCTGTGACCTAATGCCAGTGGCCATCTGCCTGGGTTGCAGTCTGTGGGACCTAGACCTCCCTCAGCTTTTGTGTGGCTTGAGGAGACAGGGCCAGTTGGATTGGGTGCCTGGTTCCCTCGGGGATGACAGCTGGGCAGGATGTGGAGGCCTGGCCCCGAAGGAGCTGCCAACTGAGATTTGCCACCTCTTGGCCAGGACTGGGACCTTGCCCTTTCTTGTCAAGACAAAGAGTAACATTCATTTGGTGGAGATTTACAGGAACATTGTTACCTGACCATGACCAGGCCTCAAAAACAAAGGATCTGGCACCAAGAAGTTGGCAACATCTAACCACACCTCTCCCTCACTTTTTGCTTTTGCTGAAAGCTTTCAGTGACTTCAGGTGTTCTTAGGGCATGCGCCGTCCATCTCCTTGTATGAACCTGTAATAAACCTCTCTCTGTTCCAAACTGTAATGGTTAGTATGATTGGTCTCACTTGGCGTCGGGCAAACAGGCTTGTGCCTCAGTAACAAGATGATGTTGGCCTGTTGTGTCTGACTCGTTCATTTAGTGTGATCCTCACTAGGTTCATCCAGGCTTGCTGCCAGTGGCATTTATTAAATTCTCGTTTCTGACTAATATTCCACTGTCCCTGGATGCCATTTCTTTCTCCTTTGCCTTGCTGCTGTGGGTGGGCATTTTGGCTGCTTCCTCTTTAGGCTGCAGTGAACTCTGGGGTGCATGTGTCTTTGAATTCTGGTTTCTTCCTGGTAAGACACCCAGGAGTGGGGTGGCAGGGTCTTAGGGTAGCTCTGTTTCTGCTTTACTAAGGAACCCTCAGTTTACAATCCTACAACTTTAATCCACACTCTGTCCAGCATTTATTGTTTGTAGATGTGGGTGGTGGCCATCCTGACAGGTGCTAAGGGATTTCTCAGTGTAGCTTTGATTTGCATGTCTCTGCAAAGTAGCAATATTGAGCCTCTTTTCATGTGTTTCTTTTAAACACAGTGTGAGGGAGATTAAACTGTTGAAATTGGCATCCTGAGACTCTTGCTTCTCTTTTTCCCCACTCAACACACACATTTCCTGATGGCAGGTGTCATTTACAGCCCTGCAGGCCCTGTGAATACTAGGCGCCCAGGGGCCTGGTTTCCAGGTTGCTGTTGGCCCGAAATGGCCACATGGTGGCAGGGTTTTGTGGAAGTGCCAGAAGGAACACTCCAGATCTCCTTTCACATTACAGCTTGTTTTTTATTTTCTAAGTTTCTTTTTTTTTTTTTTAATGCTTATGTGTTCATTTGTCTGGTCGCATTGCCCTGGTTCTCAGTTGCAATCCCCAGGGTCTTTGACCCTTGTTGCCCCATGGGGTGTCTTAGATGTAGCACGTGGGATCCAGTCCCTTGACCAGGAAAGTTCTGAATTTTATTTTTTATTGGAATAAAGTTGATTTACAACAGTGTGTTTGTTGTAGGTGTACAAGGTCATGTCCAGTTATGTGCGTGTGTCACCATCTTCAGATCTGTTTCCGTGGGATTAACATACACACACTAACATGTAAAACTGACAGGCAACGAGACCTACGCCTGTCAGTTTTACATATGTTGGTGTGTGTATGTTAATCCCAAGCTGTGGCTTTGATCCTAGGCCTCAGCTGTAGTTTCAATCCCCCCCTGTTTTCTGGCAACCTGCTGGTGTCTGCCTCTGGGTTCAGCGAGGCCAAGGTTGCACCTGGAGCTCGTGAGGAAAGGCAGGGGCTGCCCTGGTGACCTCGCCTCTTCTCATGCCGTGCACAGCAGCACTTCCTTCTCACGTAGGCCCCCCCTTCCCCTAGCACGCCCCTCTGCAGCAGGACTGCGCTCTGTCCTCAGTGTGTGTGCCCCCGCCACCGCCAGTCTTGCATGGCATCTCCTCTGAGCGCAGCACTCAGCGCTCACCTGGACTCAGGTGACGTGGACACACGTCTCAGGCTGCAGTGCAGGGCGATGGCACAGACTGTCTGCGGGTCTCTCTGTCCCACCTCCCACAAACCGGTCATCTTCGTATTGAGCTGCTGAGCCTCCCTTTTTGTTCCAGTTAATACCCCTGCCAGTGAGGGAATGTCAGGGTAGCAGGAAACGTTTCCTCTTTCTCAGCTACCTCCCAAGAGGACTGCTGGTCCCGCCCCACTTGCTCTCTTTTGCCTCTTCCAGCCCTGTCCTGTGGCACGCTTTCTTGCGCTTTCAGGTGCTCTAGGTGTTCTGCTGTACGTACAAATGGACCTTTAGACATGTACAAATATGTAAGTGTGTTTTTATTGTAGTTGTTGGAGGGGGTGAGTTCCCAATTCTCATTTTACTCAGTTGTCGTGATTAGGCCTCCTTGCAAGAGGTGTTTTAACTGGGATTTATTCCCCTTGTGGCGGGCTTAATCACTGGGATTCTTTGGTGAGACACATGGTTGATGTTTTAATCACTGCTGTAGAATGAGCTCAGTGACCAGTCTGTGCTTCCATCAAGGAAAATTTACTACCTAGATTACAGAAGTGCTCTGGTGGTCAGATTCTACATTGTGTGTTTTGATTTTGTGTCATTTTTTTAGCCTCATGAGGAATTTGGACAGTCAAGCCTCAGTTACTCCTAAGTGGTACTTGAACCAGGCCGGTTTGCTGCGAAGCCAGCAGAAGTGAGGATGTAGTGAGCATCAGATAACCTGAGGGAAGAGCATCCCCAGCAGAGGGCCTGGGTGTGGGGCCATGCTTAGCGTGTTTTTCTTTTTGTTCTGATGTTTCCAGGCAATAAGTGGAAGATGGAGAACAATCTTCCTACAATGCAGGAGACCCCCGGGGTTGATCCCTGGGTTAGGAAGATCCCTGGAAGAAGGGGATGGCAACCCACTCAGTATTCTTGCCTGGAGAATCCCAGACAGAGGAGCCTAGCAGGCTATAGTCCATAAACTCGCAAAGAGTCGGGCACAACTGTGTGACTAACACTTTGATTTTTCATAGAACAATTAACTACTAGATGTTTTGAGGAAGGGTTTGGGGGAGTTGCCTGCTAGATAGCTAGCTTGGTGACATAGCAAACTTGGTGCTCCATGTATCATTGCAGGGCTCCTGTGGCACCGTCTCTGGGACACTTGTTAACTCTTTCTGTTGCTTCTTCCAGCGAGCTGTGCTGAAGTTTGCGGCTGCTACTGGGGCCACTCCTATCGCTGGCCGCTTCACTCCGGGAACCTTCACTAACCAGATCCAGGCCGCGTTCAGGGAGCCAAGGCTTCTGGTGGTTACCGATCCCAGGGCTGACCACCAGCCCCTCACAGAAGCCTCTTATGTTAACCTGCCCACCATTGCTCTGTGTAACACAGACTCTCCTCTGCGCTACGTGGACATTGCCATCCCATGCAACAACAAGGTAACAAGCTTGTGACTGCACTGGAGCTGGCTGCTAAGTGCTCCAGCCACAGACCTCCCCCTGCACATTGTTAGAGCTTGGAGTTGAGGCTGCTGGCCGATGGACTCACAAGTGTAGGTAGTGTGCTACATGAGGGGCAAGTGTTTCGCTAACACCACGAGGGTCTCTGGCCCAATGAGTGGGGTTGGATAGTAATACTTGCTACAAAACTATGATTTTAAGGAATGAGAGCTTATTTAAGGAGAGATGAAAACATTTAAAAAATAGCTTTTTTTCTCTTCAGTATTCCTAACTCTTCAGGAAGTACTTGACTTTTCTGTTTTCTCAGTTGATGTATCCTGCTCTGAGATCCTAAAAAGGTGGGTTACCTATGGTTCAAATTGGTCATTTGTCACTGATCTCAAACCTGGTTACACATAAGAATGGGGTAGAGGTTTTCTTTTATTTCTACCAGTATTCAGGCACTGACTCCATTTTGTTGTGTAGAGTGGCGTCTTAATTAAACCCCATGATTCCAGTGGCAGACAAGATTAAGAACCAGAGATAGAGAACAATTTTGGTAACAATCTTGGTACAAACTTTCAGTCATTTTAACTGGAGTACAATTGTAAGTGTTGTGTTAGTTTCTGCTGTCCTACACACACTTTCAAACTAACAGCCATGTGTGCTCACCTGGTACTACGGGACCTAGGTGATGAGGGAACGGGTTAGCTGGAGACTGTTTGGGGTTTGCCAAGTATCACTTTACTAACCTGGCGCTCTTGCAGGGAGCGCACTCAGTAGGTCTGATGTGGTGGATGCTCGCCCGGGAAGTTCTGCGCATGCGTGGCACCATCTCCCGAGAACACCCATGGGAGGTCATGCCGGATCTCTACTTCTACAGAGATCCTGAAGAGGTGAGCTTTGTCCACAAAGGCCTGTTGTCACTCACATAAGTACATATACCTGGATGCTTTTTACTGCCAAGAACAAACTAATCTGTCATTGCATATTAACTAAAAATATTTTCCTCAACTAGATTGAGAAAGAAGAGCAGGCAGCAGCTGAGAAGGCTGTGACCAAGGAGGAGTTTCAGGGAGAATGGACTGCTCCAGCCCCAGAGTTCACCGCCACTCAGCCCGAGGTGGCAGACTGGTCCGAGGGCGTGCAGGTGCCTTCCGTGCCGATTCAGCAGTTCCCCACGGGTATGCATCGAGATCCAAGGCATCCGGCCTACTGTGTCTGTAGGAATACAAGCAGATTGGTGGGGTGGGATTACAAAAGTAATCTGGGGTGTGGCTGATGACCCTCTTGTATTTTCTCAACAGAAGACTGGAGTGCTCAGCCTTCCACTGAAGACTGGTCGGCAGCTCCCACCGCTCAAGCCACTGAATGGGTAGGAACCACCACTGAGTGGTCGTAAGCTGTTCTTCAACAGACTTCCACCAAAATGGAAAATAAACTGTTTCTAAAAATTGTGTTCATTTATTGTCTATGGGATGGACCCACCTGGTAAGAAAGCCTTGCTCAGCCTAGTGTGTGGCTCTAGGGGCAGGAGATGTTTCTGGGCCCAGGTGTCCTCCTCAGCAGAGGGTAGTATTCATGGGGCTGTGATTCAGAGCAGCTGGTCCTGAGTCTGGGCATGTGGCCAGTGCTCATTCTGTCGTTCCTTAGTGTATAATTTTAAGACAGTTTTAAATAGTAAAATATGTCATGCATATAGTTGATCTACTAGACATACCTGTGTATTGGAGAATAAAGGTCAAGTTAAAGCCTCTGAAGCCAATTAAACAGGTTGCCAAGTACAAGGTGCCAAGACTGGGAAAGTCTATTCTCGCTGCTGGCTTCTGAAGTCATGAGCTCTGCTCCTGCCATTCTCTGATAAAGGTAAAGTGATTCAATCAATCAGGAATTCTTCAGTTTGTTTTGAGCACGTATAAATGGAATCATATTTTCTATGGCTTGCTTGTTTCCATGTTTCGGCCATTACCAGCAGAACTTCTTTGAACATTTTTTACAGATCTGGTGCACAGGAATTTCCTCAATCTAGGTTCACAATCACCAATAGAAATCCTCTGAAAACACAGCCACAGTCTTTAGCACTTTCTATAGAAAGCGCTGTCCCTTCTTCACAGCTCAAAACTGCAGGGTCTGATGTGGCCTCCTCTTCCCACTGCTCTTCTGTGTCTGCGCTAAGGCCAGCGCCACCCTGTCCTTCCTCTTTCCTGGGGTTTCTACTCCACTGTGGCCCCGGCCTCTCCTGCTGTCTCGGTTATTCACTGCTGAGCCTTCTACACTATCACACAATTAAGCTAGTGCAGCTGCATCGTAGAGCCAGAGGGGGTTGCATTGCTATGATTTAGCACAGAACTGATTCACAGCATTGAGAGTTTTTCAGCATTATTCAGAGAGGTTTGTAGATCTTTGGTAAATGTATGCCTATATTCTTGGGATATTTTAAATTATACTTTCATAACTAGTGATCCTATTAGATCCCTAACTAAGGAACACAGGCAGGCAGTGGTAAGTGGCACCACAGCCATGGTGTTTCTGACCCTGCCTGAGCAGTCCACATTTTGCACAAGACAAGGGCTATATTACCAAATTCTGTCTATGAAAAATATGTTGCAAACCTACATTGAGCTCATTTACTAATGGAGAACCTTCTGGACACCTCCCTGTGCCGAGTTCAGTGAGCTTCTCTTAAGAATAACCTGAGAATTACCCTGTTCTGCCTCTCGAGGTAATTTAGCAGTTAACAAATCTAGCATACCATTCTTGTATCAGAAGTGAGGATGTAAACATGAAGGTTTGTCTAAAACGCCAGTGTCCAGCTATAGGAGGGAGAGACTCATTTGAGAGAAGTTCTGGGGACTTGGGACCCTTTATCAGAGCCCGTGGAGCCCAGGCTGTGAAGTAGACATGGCCACTGTCCAGCAATTTCCCCGCTTCTGAAAATGGACTAGGGACCAGGGGAGACAGCCTGCATCCCACCTTGTTCCCACGTCCACACCAGTGCAGGCAACTCTCTCACTGCTGAAGTGTCACCACCATGTCCCAACTGGGAGCCCTCTGCCTCTCTCCACCAATTCCTAATGCCAGCCCAAGGACTGTATTCTATTTACAGTTTTCAGCATGAGAAAGCAGCCCTCCAGGCCATCATGGCCACAAGAAAGATTCTGCACAAGGGCCTCACAAGCTGGTGTGATACTTGTTTCAAAATCCCTTTGGGAAGATTGTTTCTTTCTTTAGTGTTTTCATAAAGAAATCTATTGTAAATAGTTTTTGAAACAATGTCTAAAGGTTAATACTGTAATTCCTTTTGTAATTTAGAAATAAAAATTGCTTACAATATAACAGGGCAGAAGAAAAAGACTGGGAGAGGAAATTGAACTGGAAAAACATACAGAATTGACTTGGACAGAACTTAGGAAAGAGCAGTTAAAATATACACAAACATCTAGTTGAAATTGATACATGGAGGAGGAAAGTCAGCATCAAAGAGAAAGGCTTGAGAATTAATTTCTTACAAATCAATACAAGAACATTCTGAGCTCAGTACACTCAGCCAGACATTTCTGTAGGACCAAGTCATGCAGCTATGGGCTGTGCATCTGAAGAGGCAGTAAAACACTTTTTATCCTTGAAAAGCTAACAAAATGCTTGGGTAGGATTAAAGGTGTTTTGCAAATGTACCATAAAGAAGAGAAATACCATAAAGGTTTTGGTAACCATACCTCCATACAAGAGCTACACTGGCTGGTCAGCAGGCTTCGTGCGTGCTCATTGTGTCCAGCTCTGACCCCACAGACAGTAGCAGCCCCCCACGCTCTGACTGGGGTTGTGCAGGCAAGAGTACTGGTGGATTGCCATGCCTTCCTCCAGGGGACCTTCCTGACACAGAAATTGAACGTGTCCCTGGTATTTCCGAGATTGGCAGGTGGATCCTTCAGCACTAGTGCCACCTGGGAAGCCAATTAGTACATCGTGGCATTATTGAGTAACCATCCCTAACACTCGTGAAGTGAAAGTTGTGTCTAACTTTGCAACTCCATGGGCTGTACAGTCCATGGAGTTCTCTGGGCCAGAAAACTGGAGTGGGTAGCCTTTCTCTTCTCCAGGGGATCTTCCCAACCCAGGGCTCCTGCATTGCAGGCAGATTCTTGAACAGCTGAGCCACAGGGAAGCCCGACACCCTCTTAGGGGTGTGTATCAAAAGACCCATGCACACACGCACTAGGATATGTGGACAGAATGCTAATTAATATGCTACTGGTGGAAATGTAAACTGATAGTATCTGCTATATATAACATTACAGAGCTTTCAGTTTATCCCAATCCTGGGTAAAACTGGAATTGAAGAGAGACATGTCCCACCACTCTGCAACACTATTTACATAAAGCCAAAGGAGGGAAGCAGCCACAATGCCCATGGACAGAGGAAGGGTAAGAAATGGTACCTGGATACAGTGGAATATTACTCAGAATGAAATAATGCCACACCCCAGATGGACCTAGAGGATCACAGTAAATGAACTGAGAGATCAGCATCAAAAGGTGTTTATAAGTAGGATCTGAACAGTGGTAGTAATGAACTAGTTCACCAAGGAGAAACACAAACTTTTGGTTACCGTAGGGTAAATCAGGAGTTTAGGATCAACAGATACACAAGCCTGGCATGCTACAGTCCATGGGGTGCAGAGTTGGGCACAATTTAGCAACTGAACAAAAACACTGAATACATACAAAGTTGGTAAGAACCTGTGTACCACAAGGAACTTGATTCAACACTCAACCTACATGGGGAGGGAACCTGAAGGGGAAGTGATAATATGTATAAACGGACAAGACGGCGTACGTATACAACCGGCACCATAAAGTGACAACTCCATTTAAAATAAGGAAATAGAAAGTAATGAGACACAAGTTTTGGGGTATTTCCTTTCTGCCTAGGAACATGACTTACCAAGACTGGTCTCTAGAGTAACCAGCCGAGGCTAGGAAGAAATCCTGCCTCCTTGTGGCTCTTTTGGGTAGCAGCAACTTTTAAAAACCTGTACCCTGGACACGTAATATTCACAGGGCCTCTAGGGCTGTAAATGACACCTGCCCTGGAGTAGGTGATTAGAAAAGTGGAAAAAGAAAAAATTCAAATGGGGCACAGTGTCAGGAAGCCACTTAAGACAGGGCGATTTCCCTCTCACTTTTTAGTTTTAATTAAACCATTTTGTACTGGGATATAGCTGATTAACAGTGTTAGCGTTTCAGGTAGAAGGTGAAGGGCCTCAGCCATACATACACATGTGTCCGTTCCCCCACAGGCCCCCACCCGGCTGCAGCAGGACGCAGCGGGGCTCCCTGTGCTACACGGCAGCTCCTTGGTTACCCGTGTCAAATTCAGCGCCATGTACACGGCCATCCCAAACTCTAGCCCTAACCCATTCTGCCCCTGCAACCAAAAGTTCATTTTCTGTCACTATTAGAAGCAGCGTATGAAAAGGGGCTCGATCGGTAATTATTAATATCAGGGACATGCAGATCAAAACTGTAGCCAGGAATCACCTCTTGCCAGTCGGAAGGGCCATCATCAAGCAGTCCACAAATAGGACTTCCCTGGTGGTGCAGTGGATAAGAATCCACCTGCCAGTACAGGGGGACACAGGTTCGATTCCTGGTCCATGAAGATTCCACATGCCACAGAGCCAGCTAAGCCTACACACCACAACTGAGCCTGTTTTCTAGAGCTTGCGAGACACACCTAAGGAGCCCACGTGCCCTGGAGCCCAGGCTCCACAACAAGAGAAGCCCGTGCCCCACAACTAGAGGGTAGCCCCCACTCTGCAACTAGAGAAAAACCCGTGCACAGCAATGAAGACCCAGCATAGCCAAAAGTCCTACAAGCAATAAGTGATAGAGGATTTGGAGAAAAGGAATGCGCCTACGCTGTTTCTGGGAATGTACACTGTTGGCAGTCCATGGAGAGCACACTACGGAGCTCTAAAAACAGAGCTACCCTGTGATCTATCTGTTCCACTCCTGGGTGTCTCCAGGAGGAAAAGCAGAATTCAAAAAGACAGATGCAACTCACCACTCAGCGCAGCAGTAATTTACACAAGCCTAACCACTATGTCCATGAACAGAAGAATGGTACCTAGACATAATTGGATGCTGCTCAGGCATCAAAGAGTGAAATAATGCCACCGGCAGTAGCCTGGATGGATCTCGAGAGGATCCAGCGAAATGAGTCAGAGAGAAAGACCAGTGTCATAAGATATCGTTTATAAGTGATACCTGATCATTGGTAGTAATGAACTAGTTTACCAAGGAGAAACTCACTTGCAGAATTAAAGCACAAACTTTTGGTTATCCTAGGGGAAAGAGTAAATCAGGAGTCTGGGTGTAACAGATACACAAATACATATAAAATTGATAATAAGGACCTCCTGTATAGCACAGGGAACTACACTCAATAGTTTGTAATAAACTATAAGGGAAAAAAATCAGTGAAGGAACAGAAATTTATGTATAACTGATTCACTGTGCTATACACCTGAATCTAAATATTGGAAGGAAACTATTTCAATGAAAAAAAAAAAAAACCTGCTGGATACTGAAGAGAAAGCTAAAGCAAAGGTTCTTGAGTGGAATAGACCCCCTACAGGAAAAGAGTCACTAGTGAGTTTCACATTTTTTTGGTAGCTTCTTTCTTTTGGTCAACCTTTACCCTTCCCTAGCAGGACAGCTAAGATCTGGGTAGAATCCAGGGGCTGTTCCAAGTTGAAGATCAAGAACTAGTCTGAAGCAATTTAATTAAAGTGACTTGTAACCCCACTAGTATACACTGGCAGTCGTCTCAGAGAGAGAAAGAATTGCATTTCCTGTGCTGTCCTCACTGGTGTAAGGAGGTCCAGCTAGTTACTCCAGCTCACTGGTGTAAGGACTGGAGATTGTTCAGAGACAAAGGACGGACCACAGTGGACAGCTTGTGGTGGGCGTACAGTGACTCCTGTTGTCCTCTTCCTTCTCAAGGAACAGGAGCAGTGCTACTAGAGTTCGCATTTTACAACCCTAAATTCCTCTTTTGGTCCCTTTGTGGGCTCAGAAGAGTCCAATTAAACTGAAGTAGAAGGGCATCTGTCTGGATAACTGTTCCTTAAATACTACCAAATACCTTCACACACCAAAGAAATCTCAAGTCCAAGTCATCGGTAGAAAAGAAGACATTGCAAGACAAAGTCGCTTTGTGGGATACTTAATATCCAAAAGAAAAAAGAATTTGTAACCCACTGAAGGAATCAGGTAGCAAATTCTGTCATCTGGAACCAGGCCTGGGACTGGTAGGATTAAGGCAATTCATTTGGGGCTATATATGGGGGGTTTCAAGTGGCCATCACAACCAGGCCTTCATGATTTTATCTCCCTTGCTTATTTTTATGCATTTGTCTATTTTAACTGTGGGTTTAAGAAATTGCCTTGTTGCACCTCCATGGTGACCAGTTCTTAGTGGTAGAAGGCACAGCCCTTGTCTGTCCAGGTCTTTGTCAGAAAAGCTTTAGGTAAAAGTGGACATGTCTAGCTAATATCATACTGACCTTGAAAAACCTTGCCTAGGAGTCGAATTTGGGGGCCTGGGACATCTCAGGGCCCTCATAGACTCACGTCATCCCTTCATTCCAAGTCACTGAGGTCACACGGTGTTCTGGCCATAAGCACACAGCCTGTGGTCAAGGATTGACTGAGCAGTAGGCAAGTCCTTTTGAGCACTCACCCTTAGCCAATGGTGCAGAGAGCTTATGTGGGGTGAAAGCAGTGAGCAGTAGGCTTATAAGCAGCTGTTCACAGGAAACCACCCTCGACGACAGTTCCTTCTCCTGTCCCTATAGCAAAGCTCTACTGAACTCTTAAGTCGGGAATCCCCATGCTCTACTCATCTCCAGCCCAAGCACACCTTTCAAATCTTAATCTCACAACACCTGGCCTAAGAAGTCAAGAATAAGTAACCAGATCTCTTTGCCAGCTTCCCCTTCAGTAATCTGAACAAACTGAAGGGCATTCCTCTCAACTGGAGGAGTGAAAGTTTGGAGTAACATATCCTCACTCTCATTCCCTTCCGTATTTTCCCTGATGTCACAGCTCAGACACTTGCACAGAGTTCACCTCTAACCATTAAAAGGATGCCTTTTTGCCTTGGTGTCAACCAACCAGGGGGACAGTGCAATTGAAAAGAAACTTGATTACTATTGTGACATACAACAATTTGAGATTATCAAAAGAAATGATATAATTTACCAGGATAAAACTTGATTTGGAGGTAAATGGAGAAATAGTACCAAACAAAATGAAATGAAAAATCCAAAGGACAGACAGAATCCTAAAGAAACCCTCAAGTTTGGTCTCGGGGTTTTGCATATCCCAGTGACAAACACGACACACGGGGCCCCAAGGTAATCCTGCCTAAACCCCTTGTGGAGATCCTAACAGACACTCTGGCCACACATGGTTCAACAAAATATCATCCTCCTCTCACAGTTTAGGAATAGCTGAAGCATTCACCATATTTAAAGTCAGAAATTCAAGACAAACAAAACACAAATGCGAGCATCCAAACAAACGAAAGAGCTGGCTCACAGATTGGGTAAAAGTCCAACAACCCTTCTCTGTCTCCAGCAGGGCCCCCCAACTTGGCTATTCCAGAGAAAATGTCCAAAACAGAGAGTAAATGAAGTCCCCAACTGTAAGCACTGGAGCCACTCACCCTACTGAATCGAGCCCATTAGCTCCCGCATGTCGATTCCTTGCTCCAGTTGCCAAGTGCTGGGGCAGCCGGGGCTGCTTTCAGGAATAAAGGAGTTTTGAAGGGAAGATCCTCAGGACAAGTGGTTCCTGCAGCTGCTAGGGCCTTACCTGAAAACCCCCAGCCAGGGCCAGCTAGTCACCAGTAGCGAAGCTCCTGCCTGGACAGCCAACAGCTGGTTCCAAGTACAAGCTTGCACGGCTCTCCGCAGAACAGGCGCTAAGATGAGAGACAGGCTGTCAGGGCAAGGAAGGGAGACTTTAGCAGGAAAGCCAGCACCCCACGGAGATGGTGGGCTTGTGTCCTGAGTTGGAACTCGGCTTCCTTTAACCGACGGGGAATGAAATCAAACTTTCTTGGTTCCTGTCAGCCTTCACAGAGGGTGTGTTACTCTCCTCCCGCCTGCAGTCATTCATGGACGGATGTGGTCAAGACGGTTCCTGTGTGCTAAACAAAGGTATTTTAGCTTAATGCTTGTTATCTGGGAGGCAGGGTTCCCAGAGAAGGGACAGAATGTCCAAGCGTATAGGCAACATCTGTTTCCCGATTAACTTGTATAGAATACAAAGGTTTCTCCCTGTTACACGGGGACTGGGGAAGGAAGGACAGTGCAACAGCTGTGGATGTGGGAATAGAACTGTTAAAATGTGTCCAGTAGGACGGGGTGCTCAGTTGTGTCCAACTCTTTGAGAACCTGTGGACTTAGCCTGCCAGGTTCCTCTATCCATGGGATTTTCCAGGCAAGAACACTGGAGTGCATTGCCATTTCCTTCTCCAGGACAGAAGGACTTGCCAAATCGGAGATTCCCACCCTGCACTCTCAAAGATTAGCAGGACTATTTCCAAGAGATTCTCCAAGTGAGTCTGAGGCAAGGGGGTCTCTGTAAAAGTTTTTGGGAAACACTTCTTTAGAAACCATAGTGAGATTCCTGCAGGCTTGCTGTCTAGAGTGACAAGGTCAGGAAAAGAAATGGGGGTGGGAACTGGAGGCAACAAAGGGATTTGAGTATAGCATGTAAGTCATCTGTTGCTCTGTGACAACCGATCTCAATCAACAACACATTTAGCGTTGGGTGGTTCTCTTCATAGGCTCAGCCGACCTGGGATGAATTTACTCACACGTCTGGGGTCGGGGGTGGCCTCTCTCTCAGCTGCACTTTGAGGGTTCTGGGCCACAGTCATCTGTCAAAACAGTCAGGGTTTGCGCACACCCAGGCAGGTTCTGGGAGTAACAAATGATCCTCAAGTTTCCTCTTGCAACACTTGTGGTATCTGATTGGCCAAAATAAATCACCTGTCCAAGCCCAGCCTCAGGAGGAGAGAGTTCCAGGAGAGTGTGGATACAGGAAGGCATGGGCAAACACAGGCCCCGAAGTCTACCTCATGGAGGAATGAGAAGAGGTAAAAGGCAACTCATATAAAGTAAAAATAAATAGGAGGTTCCTGAGACCGGGTGAGGCAGGGGATCTCGGCCCTGCCTTCAGGAGGAGAGTGCGGCAAAGGCACCTGGATAGCTCCTCTGGAGTGAGCGAGTGGAGAAAGAGCTATGGGCGCCTTTAGGCTGGAACAACCTAAAGGTTGTTCCGCTGCCCCACTCCTCCGGAACCTCTAAAACTGGAGCCTGTGATCAAAAAGATCTGGGAAGAGCCACAGTAAGACGGGGAACTGGGTCCAGTCCAGGATCCCTCGCGGCTCCTGCGGGCGCAGGGCTGAGGCGGCAGGGGTCTCCTGGCTCTCAGCAGGCGCGGCCCCGGACTTGGGGGCCAGCGGAACCCCTTGTGGGCCCGACTCTCCCAGGGACGGTGCAGGGGCCTCGGTCTCCTGCACACACCAGTCCGGCTCCTCGCTGGGGGGGCACCCTTGACCTTCTGCTTGCAGATGGCAGGGCGGATGCTCAGGGGCACCCTGGCTGTAGCTCATCTCCTAGCCTTGGCCCCTCTGTGGCTGGCAGGCTGGCAGACTGGGTTGGATTCCCCGACTTCAGGTCCTGGCACTGGTGGGAGGGTGTCGCCAGGGTTCTTGGCACTGGGCCCCAACTCCTGATTCCATTGGCCTCAGCTCCCCACCCTGGACTTGGGCAGAACCTCTCTGGTAACTGTCTGAGGCTCCAACAGTCCCAGCCAACCCCCAACGGCCCCAGCTAGTCCCAACGGCTCCAGCCAATCCCCAACGACCCCAGCCAACCCGCCAACGACCTTAGCCAATCCCCAACGGCCCCAGCAAGTCAAAAACGGCCGCAGCCAATCAACAAGGGCTCCAGCCAACACTGCCCCCCCCAACGACCCCAGCCAATCAACAAGGGCCCCAGCCAACCCCCCCCAACGGCTCCAGCCAATCCCCAACGGCCCCAGCCAACTCCCAACTACCTTAGCCAATCCCCAACGGCCCCAGATAGCAACATCCCTAGCCAATCAACAGGGCCCAAGCCAGTCTCCATAGGCTCCAGCCAAACGCCAAGGCCAGCATCCAGCCCCCAGAGGCCCCCCGACTCTGGATTCGGGCTTTATCTTCTCCCCTTGGTGGGGTGCTGATACTGGGTGGACTGCCTAGAGGAGGCAGTGTTTAGGGGGGCTGGAAACTGACAAAGGAAGTTGGTCTTTAGGGTGTCCTACGCTGACGATAAGGGCGGCATGATGTCCTGGAGAGCTACCCTGAGAAGGTCCTGACTTGGAAGCCTTTCTGGTTGCCTAGTGTGCTGCTGGACCTTAGAAAGAGAGGAAAGGGCCGAGAGAGACACCCCTGGGTAGGGAAGTATAGAGGCGACATCGTGAGGCCTTCATGGCCGGAAGAAGAGGGCCGAGGGGTCCCATCAGACGCGTGGTGTGGAGGGAAGTTCTGGGGACAGTGGGGGCAAAGACAAAGTTCCCAGGCAAGTCAGGGACTGGAAGCTGGCCGGAAGTTGTGTGGGTGACTTAGGTGGGGGCAGGGGGAACACGACCTGGGTTAGGGGTGGCTCTTAGGGTGGAGAATGGCTGACTCTTTTTTAAAGGTATAAACAAGTATGAATATATGTGACAGACTAGTCATTCTGATGGGGGAGGGACTGAAAGACATCCTAGTAGTTGGCTGTTCCCCTGCCCTTAACTGAGATGGAGAGGTAGGGGTGAAGGAAGTCGGGGAATGCTGGGGAGAAGGGATGTGCCCAGGCCTCCTGGAGAGACAAATCGTCGTGAGCAGATAACCTAGGCCCAGCCAACATTCGCAGGGAGAGGTGCGCTGTGTGGACAGGGCATCAGAGAGGGGCTGGCTTCAATGACATAAATATGGAGCCATGCAACTGGATGAGATCTGAGAGGAGTGAGCCCCAGGACCAGGCAGAGAAGGAGTCTCAGGAGGTCAGGGGAGGGAAAATGAAGAAAATCCAAGGTAAAGTTGTCTTAAAGGCTGATGAAAAAAAATAAAAGATCAAGTTTGGAACGAACATTTGGCAACATTCATGGAAATTAAATGTGATTATGTTTTTCTGGTACCTACCAGGAAACAGGAGGCACGTGAGGGCAGAGGTGGAGAGGTGGGCAGCAGTCTATTCCCACTGGCGATAGGAGTGTGTGGTGCAGACTTAAAGTCATCTCACTTAAAGCCTGCTAATTAATTAGCACCATGAGAAAGAAATTCTGAAAGTCCTTGATAAACTATTTCTTCCCACCATTCCCGACTGCTGCCGTATAACCCTCCAGCTCGAGCTGGCACTGGGGAGAGCATTATTGCAGCGTTGTTTGTAACAGAGGAACCTGGGGGCGGGGGGTGGCAGGGAACCTTCATGTCCACCCACAGGACAAAAGCAGAGTCATAGATGATACCTGCATGTGATGACACAGGACATCCAGCAGTTAAAAGGAATTCACATACCTGTACATCTGAATAGATCCTAAAAACACTGCTGACAAAGTTCAAAGTGTATCAATATATTCATCCCTACTCCTATTAGGAGGAAATACCTCGTGTAAACAAGCATACAGATCTAGAAATGTAAGGAACAGATTGGAGGTCTGCCCTGTAGCAGAATTGAGAAGGACCCCGGGGTTTGGAGTGGTATTAGAGAGAACTTGAATTTGGAGATTTGCTTTTTGTTTTTCTTTTAAAGGCAAATGTAAAGTTCAGTTCAGTTCAGTCATTCAGTTGTGTCCGACTCTTTGCGACCCCATGCATCGAAGCACGCCAGGCCACCCTGTCCATCACCAACTCCTGGAGTGTACCCAAATTCATGTGCATCGAGTCGGTGATGCCATCCAGCCATCTCATCCTCTGTCGTCCCCTTCTCCTCCTGCCCCCAATCCCTCCCAGCATCAGGGTCTTTTCCAGTGAGTTAACTCTTCATATGAGGTGGCCAAAGTATTGGAGTTTCAGCTTCAGCATCAGTCCTTCCAATGAANCATCTCTTTGAGAATCTTCCACAGTTTATTGTGATCCACACAGTCAAAGGCTTTTTGACAAATGTAAAGTTACTGGTATAATTTAAAGTGATAAAACTGAAAGTTTTTTTTTAAGTACTTAAAATGAATAGAGGCCTAAGCCTCTCTACTCCACTGTTTAGAAAGTACATTATTCAACCCTCTCTGGTTTTTTCCTCTGTCTTCAGCTCACTGTGGGGACGCAGCTGAGACACAGGGCCTCCGTGGGCGCTCTTCTCTGACCTCGAGTCCCACCTGCCCATGAAAATCCACCACTGCTTTTCAGACCTCCCCTCAGCCCTGCTGTTTCTGGGGACCCTAAGCAGAGAGTGGGAGGGTCCCTGGTGTCATTTGGAAATGGCTGCTGGGGGCAGGGTTCGCTTCCTGGGAGGGTTGGGGGTGTCTAACTCAGCCTTTCAGATGGACCTAGTACATGGGTCAGAGCCGAGGTCAAACTCAACGAGTGGCCCAGCCCTCCAGGGCCGGGCGCGGCCAGCTTTGCCTCGCCTGTGCTGGGCTCCGTGAGGATGCACACTGCCTCCCTCGCCCCAGTGAACCTCTCCGGCCAACTGCCCAAGCTCTCAGGCTAGATGGTCAGACTCAGGCGGCTGAGGCAGGACTCACAGGGATTTGGGAACTTCGGGCCCTTTCTGCTCTGCTTGGATTTACTATGTTTTAAAGGGTTTTTTTTTCATTGCCCTTTTAAAATTTATGTTTTCCTCCTGGCAATGGCTTGCGAGCAATGTGGGTCAGCCTCTTTAGTCCGCATCTACTTTCTGGAATTTGTGTTGAATCAGTATATCGGCAGCAACGCCACCCTCTCCAGTCCAGTCCCTGCAGTGGGGTTTGGGCTCCTTGACGACAGCCCCTCTGTCCACATGGGGACCCCCAGTGACCACTGCGAAAGGCTGAGTTTTTTATGTTCTATATCCAGGAAAAAAGGGATAGAGGGGAGAGCTTCATGATTATAAACTGACCCTAGAACTTCCCTCCTGTCCTTCCAGAGCCTGGCCTGCACCCTCCAGCTCGTTGTTTCCCTTGCCTGGTTCTCTGGTTGGACTCCACACTCAATCAAGCGGAAAGTCCAGGCTGGAGATCAGAGGCCCCCACGCTGGAAGAGGCGTCTACTGTCTCTGCCTGCCTTCTGCTCGCCCACAGGCCTTTGGGAGGGAGCATGCATGTGTTGGTCTAAATGTGTGTATGTGTGTTTGTCGGAGCGGCTGCCCTGGTGAGGCCAGTGTGCCCAGCAGGAAAAGAAAAAAAAGGAAAAGGGCCTCCAATTAGCTGAGGGGCCAAGGATCCCTGGATCTGCATGTAACAGGAACCCCAGGAGGGGGAGTTTATCAAAATATAAAAAAACTTTACCCAGTGGTTAATAAAAGGTCTCACTGGCAAACAGATATCACTTAAACAAAGAAATTCACAATTACCAAAAACAGTTCAGTATTTTAAGAAAACTTTGTTCTCTTAGAGAACCAGATTCAGGTTCTAAACCACTTTACCTTTAACATTCATTTTCTTAATGAAATTCAATCTTATCTCAGCCAATCCTCAACATGCAAAAACTCAGTGTTCTTCCTCTACAAACCTTCCACAATTTTCTGTATCCATATTAATCTGTCCTGCACTTTCCTTTCCATTCAGAAACAACCAGCTCAAGGACATCTTCATTTTCATTCCTCATACGTTAGCCTGGCACTGGGCACTCCAGCAGAGGAACATGTGGGAACACCTTTGTCTCCATCCAAAGGGGGAAGGCAGAATCAGATAAAACCTGCATGTGATGACCAA